TGCTGCTCAAAGGTTTATTAGAGGGAGGACATGGCACAACATCCCATGTTTGATTTTCTTCAAGTGCTAAGAGTTTTGCGTCAATAGCCTTTTGCAAACATTCATGCTCCATTGCCTCCTTATAAGATGAAGGAATAGAAACATAGGACAAAGTTGTTGTTAAGGATAAACTATATTTTTCAGGTGGCTTACTATCATGACCCTTTTTTTTAAGAATCGACATGCGTTAATTATGCGGAAAAATAGATATTTTTTTTTCATGAGAGACCAAATTTTTTTTTCTGGATAATACAATTTCATTCATTCATTAAAACATATATATATATATATATATATATATATATATAATCAAGTACAATACATTAATCCTTCAAATACAAATAGGTACAAAGTCAAGTCTTTCAAAATACAAAAAAAGCTCATGACCATTCTCCTATCTATGGGAGGGAGCTACGTGCCCAAACTTTCCCCCACCCTCAGCTCCTCCTAGCTTACCCATCCCTTTGGGTAGCCGAGGCTCCACCTGTATAACCTGCTCCCGTACCAAGTACGATCACAGCAGAACACATCACAAAGAAATGCAAGGGTGAGCTAGAATCAACATTTATAATTCACAACTCTAATGATAGAGTATAATCAGGCAATAATATAAATATCCAATTCATTCTTTTAGGCGACATCTGCCATATAGCCTCGCCTTCAGGGAAACATCTGGCACACAGCTGTTTCTAGGGAAACCACCTGACACACAGTCGGGTCCCCAATTAGCATAACCATCTGACCCTCAAAGTTTGGTTTGCATACCTTAGGCATACAGTCGCAATTAGCAAAACCATCTGACCACCAAAGTTTGGTTTGCATATCTCAGGCATACAGTCGCAATTAGCAAAACCATCTGACCCCCAAAGTCTGATTTGCATATCTCAGGCATACAGTCTCAATTACACAGTTCATAACCATACAACCAATCATAACTCAAGCACACATCAATATTTCTCAATGCACTCAGCTCCACATGACACACAATCTCCCATTGCATTTTCACATCATACAATTGTTCATTAGCATATAGCATTCTCATACATATTGTCACACTAATTCCATTTACTCATAATTAGCACTAAACATATCACATAACATTATTCATCACAATCATCCAATACACAACACCCACTCATTCAATTATCCTTGCACCAATCATCACAAAGAGGTTAGGAAAAACTCGTCTTACCTGGTACGTCCACGTTTATTTTCTCCAAAGCTTGAGACTGATTTCCTATTAGCAAACATGAACAAGGTTCAGTTGTTTTGGCATAACTCAACCTATACTTAATATTTTGACATGAGACCAGTTTATAACTTTCAAGGACTCATTTATATACAACTTTCATGAAGAAAATAAATTCAAATACCCTATAGAATAAATGTGGTTTTCAGTTTACAGTGATTATTTCCAACAGGGATCAACTACAATAACAATCTGAACATGTCTTGGTATTTTGACTATAACTCATGTTACACATAAGCTATTGACATGAAACTAATTCCTAAATTTCGGTAACACATTTTCCTACAATTTTTATCAAGGAATAAATTCCTAATTTTACATGTATCAATCCCAGTAATTCAAAAACCGAGGCTTTTGAAACAGGGTAACATCTTAACGTCACAGCTAGAACACCTGACAGTAAAATGGGCATAACTCGAGCTACAATTATCCTTTTGATGTTAAATAAGTTTCTAAATTTCGATAATATAATTTAATACAACTTTTATGAAGAAATTAAGTCCTAATTTTCCACTTATCAATCCCAGAAATTCAAAAACCGAGGCTATTGAAACAGGGTAACATTTTAACGTCACAACTAGAACACTAGTCAGTAAAATAGACATAACTTAAGCTTAGAATATCCGTTTGATGTTAAACCAGTTTCCAAATTTCGGGAACATAATTTTCTACAACTTTTATGAAGACACCAATTCCTAATTCTATTCACACAATTCTCAAAATTTCAGTGAACAGTACCTATGAATTAGGATTCCTAAGGTTTTTAGCTCAACCACTTTTAATCCTCCACTTCAACCATGATTCTAGTGTTCTAGGTGTAAAATCACAATAATGAAACCATGATAATACTCTTCCCACTCTATTCAAGTCCAGCCAAGTGAGAAGAAAAATGAAAATACACCGTATTGAAAATTGAAACCGTAGAAATATAGAGGAGATTGAGAGGAACAAACTTACCTCTTAGAGCTCCTCAAGAAAATCAAGATTTAGCCTTCAATTTGTGAATCGAAATGTAAGGGTTTGAGAGAAAATAAAGAAGAAGAAGAAGAGCAGAGGAAAGAACTGCATGCTGCTGAATTGAGAGAAAGCTGAAATAAATATAAGATGTTTGACAAAAATGTCCCTCAACTAAATATTAAAGGACTAGTTTGCCCTTTTTGCTCTTAATTGAATTTTCTTTATTTCTTTCATTATAAACCTAATAATGAAAATTCCAACTGTTAGAACCTAGAACTACATCTCGGGATATTGATACCCAAATTTGAGATTGATCCAACGGTTAACGAATTGGCGATTGTGATTTTATCGAAACTGTTCAGGATTTCAGCGAATTTGAAACAGAGTCACGATTAGAGCTCTATTTCTCCTCATACGGAACTCTAAACGAAAACCTGAACGGTGAAAATTTAGATGAGAATGTCTTGAACATACTCTTCAAATTTCAGGCAAATCCAACGGTGGAATTGACTGAGATCTAGACTGGAAGCTTGGAGGTTCTTTGGAGTCTCAACCCCCCTTTTTCAGCCAAACAATTCTAAACACCTCCTTTCGACTCTCATAAACACACACTAACTAACATACCATACAAAACACTTCAAAAACAATTCTAATGCATCAAGGGAAATAAATAAATCAATCCATACATAATCCACATCATATACAAGCACTAAGCAATATTTACCATTAGGCACACAGCCAAAGAACTATGTAGCTCTCACCACATAGTTAATCATGCTCATACAAGGAGCTAGAGAAAGCTAACCTAACACTTACGAACTCGGGTACTGCGACGTAAAGGTATTGGGTTTGCTGCTAGTACAAGATCAGCTACCAAGGAATGATCTTGACTAGACCCAATGGTCTTACATCATCTTTGATACACTAGGAGAGGTTTGTCTCCAAGAAGAATTAGAAAACATTGGCAAAACAGAAATTGGAGAAGGAGGAGAGTCATGGTGAGTGGCAAAATAATATTTATTTTCTTGAAAAATGACATTTCTACAGATACGGATCCTATCAAGATGTAGATCATAACATACAAAACCTTTTTGTTGAGAGGAATAGCCAAGAAAAATACATTCAACAGATTGGGCAATGAGTTTATGATGTTCGTGGGGAGGAAGATGAACATAACACACACAACCGAAGGTACGAAGACTGGAATAATAAGGTAGATGACCAAATAGTCGAGTGAAAGGAGAAAATATGTGTGTTCCCCTCTTGGAGAATTCTCTCATATATATATATATATATATATATATATATATATATATATATATATATATATATATATATATATAATACAAACTAATATTTTGCCCCTTTCCCTTTAAATTAGCTAACAACCATATATACAATTAATACAATTACTATACTACAATATATCCTAATAAAAGAGAATAACAGTTACAATTGATTTTGATGACTAAATAATTTGGCAACCAAAGCTGACAGATTACGTAATTAACTCCGTTGACAAACTTCGTTATCTGTTGGGGCTTGAAATATCACATTCTTCATCTGGTATTGTGTTCAATAAGAGGAAATATACACTAGAAATACTGGAAGAAAATGACATGTTTGTTGCCAAACTAGTAACCACTCCTATGGAGCCTTCTACCAACGTAAATAGCTCTTGGAACTCCTTTATCTGACCCTCGAATTTTTCGCAAGTTGATTGGTCAGCTGATGTATCTTATAACCACCGAGACCAGACCTAATTAATAAAAAAATAATTTTTTATTGTAATAAAATTAATTATAAAGATAATATATAAAATTAAAATTTTTAAAAAGAGAATTAAAAAAGTTTCATTCTTACGTAAAATATTCTCCTTCCCGAAATATAACCTTCTCTCCTGTTCTCCTTATTTATCCTAAGCACCGATTATTTTTATCCTTATTACGAATTAAATGTGTAAGAATTACTCAACCAAGAATAATATGAAGTTTTATTAAATAAAAAAGATACATGTATTTGAATTTTTCAATATAAAAAATATAAATTTTATAAGTTTAACGTTATATATATATATATATATATATATATATATATATATATATTTGTTATTATTTATTATTATGTAAATTTTATTATTATTCTAAATTATAATTTCTTAAAATAATGTATTGATTTATATTATTAAATTGAAATAATATATATACATATATATTGAATTATTGACAAACAAATAATAATCTTATTATTAAATTTATTAAAAAAATTATTTAAAAAAAATTATTTAAAAAAAATTATTTTCTCTAAATTATGACGAGCCAGCCTGCCTCGACGGCAGGCTAAGGTCTACAGTCCATCATGACTATATCGGGCTAGCCCGTCCCGCCCCACTTTTGGCGGGCCAAAGGCGGGACGGGCCAAAACGGGGCGGACTGGCCCGTTTTGCCATCCCTACTTTAAGTAACTTACATGATAAATCTTTAATGGCTTTAAAGCAATTGATACTTTCCTAAAACATCTCCATAAACATAATGAATTAAGTCAAATCATTAATTACAGTCAAAAGTCACACATAATATTTTGTCTAATTATATTCAGATTTTAAAGTTGAATAGTAGAAACTTTGTTGTTACTGTTTGATATGGACCTAATCTTTGAATGACAGAACAAATGTTCAAACCTCAGTCATTTATCTCCACAATCTTATAACTTTAAAAAGACATTATGTATTCACTTCTTTTCATATCAGTCAGTCATGACAATAATGTCAGACTATTCATATCTGGTGTTGCTTTTTTTGTGTCTTTGCAACCTCTCTTCTTCAGAAGCTATCATCGATGGATTCAGTGTGGAGATAATCCACCGTGACTCATCAAAATCACCATTCTATCGTTCCACAGAAACTCAATTCCAAAGAACTGCTAATGCCCTGAGTCGTTCCATTATCCGTGTCAATCATTTCAACCAATCTTTTGTGTCTCAAAACACACTTCAGGCCCCAGTAACCTCAGCTCCAGGTGAATATCTAGTGAAGTATTCAGTTGGAAGCCCTCCACTCCCGGTCTATGGAATTGTTGATACGGGTAGTGACATTACTTGGCTGCAATGCCAACCATGTATAAAAAGTTACAAGCAAATCACTCCTATCTTTGATCCTTCAAAATCCAAAACATACAAAACCATCCCTTGCACTTCCAGTACATGTCGTTTAGTACAAGGTACTTCTTGCCCCTCGGCCACTAGCAATTGTGTATATACTATTGACTATGCTGATGAGACACACTCACAAGGAGATCTTAGTGAAGAGACCCTTACTTTACTCTCCACCAATGGCTCTCCTATCCAAATTCCTCGAATTGCATTTGGATGTGGTCATATCAATGCTGTTTCCTTTGAAAGAGGAAATTCTGGCATATTTGGCTTAGGACGCGGAGCTGTATCCCTTATAAATCAATTGCGCTCTTCAATAGGTGGAAAGTTTTCTTATTGTTTGGTACCAGCACATTCACAATCTACTGTATCTAGCAAACTCAATTTTGGAGATGCTGCTGTGATTTCTGGGCCTGGGACTTTCTCAACCCCATTATTTGCACAAAATCGAGAACCATTTTATTACCTACACTTAGAAGCATTTAGTGTCGGACGCAATAGAATAGAGTTTGGAAGTTCTTCATCTAAACCTGGTGGAAATGGAAATATCATAATTGACTCAGGTACAACACTCACTTTTTTGCCAAATGATGTTTACTCAAAGTTGGAATCAGGAGTTGCAAGTGCAGTTAAGTTGCCGCGTGCTAAGGATCCTAATCAAGTGTTGAGACTCTGCTACAAAGCTAATAGCATAAATGCACCAGTGATCACAGCACATTTTACTGGTGCAGATGTCATTTTATATGGTCTCAACACCTTTGTTCATGTGACAGATGAGGTTGCATGTTTGGCTTTCCTGCCAAGTCAAACTGGTGCTGTCTTTGGGAACTTGGCTCAGCAAAACATTTTGGTCGGCTATGACCTTCAGAAGAACACAGTGTCCTTTAAACTCGCAGATTGTTCTAAGCAGTGATTGGTTGTTGTTTCTTTTATAATAAGTCAATGTCAGAGAATAAAATTCTTTAGTAAAACCTTTGTCAGCCCAATACAATTGTTGAATTAACTATAACATTGCTTACTTGATGAAAAATTGAATTAGTAATGAAAAATTAGATGTGATGTTGAATATGTGGAAACGAAAGTAACTTGCAGAAACCGTGAGATAGGAGGAGAGTGTGCTGCTAAAAAAATAATAGTTTAAAACACGAAATTCAACAATAGAGTTGGCAGCAATACGACAATTATCGAATCTAAGCTTGTTAAGTATCATCCAAATAATCACGTTAATATAATTAAATATTCTTAAAAAACATATTTCATATTCAGTTTGAATACTTTATTATAATACATTACTCACCAGAATTATGTTCTTTGATTTACTTACCTGCTGAGAAATCACTGTCGATGTGCATAGGAAGAGATGTGATGTGGTAAGTCATTATATAAGTCCCTGGGAAGCTGAAGAATGATATCAGGAATGATGGAATGCTACAGTCAGAAGGAGAAATAAGTCGTGAAGCAAGATTTTTGCTAACGGTTTGGGGTATATACAAAGCTTCAACCATGGATGTCTTGGTGTACCAATTATCTTTTCAAAAAATCAATCTTTTGACCATCACCTATCAAGAGTTACCAAGAACAATAATTCTATATTTTATAATGATTTATAATAAAAATTTAGTTTATTTGAGATAAAAAATAAATATTTAATAATAAACAAATCAAAATAATTTCTCACAATACATAAAGATAATAATTATGTAATCTTATTTATAATAATTTAAAAAAATAAATAAATGTTATTATTATCATCATAAGAAAATTGAAATCTACCATAAGTCAATGTATATATCAAGATACAAATTATGTGCAATTATTTTTATATATTATATGTAGCTGAACATTGGAAACATTTAATTAATATATTTTTTTTAAATCTACGAAATCTAAATATTAATTGACTGTGAAAAACTAATATTAATGTATTATTCATAAAAATAACCATGCAACTTATTAACAAAACAATATCTAGAAAAAATGAGTACTGTAGTCAAATCATTAAATAAAGTCAAAAGTCAAATAGTATATTTTATTTTATTCATAATTTAAGTTAAAATATATAAAACCAATTAAAAACTGAACTGTTATTGTTGACATGGAGATGACCCAATTACTGAGAACAAATTTTCAAACTCTCACCTCTACATATTTGTATAATTTGAGATAAAAAGCATTTTAGCGACCGAAAAAATCAGTTGCTAATGTCAAAAAATTGGTCGCTAATCAGTTAGCGACCGAAAGGCGTCGTCGCAAAAAGCTAAGTCGCTAATGTGTTAGCGACCGAAATTAATATATCAAATTGGTCGCTAAATCGGTGACAAAGTTAAAAAAATAGCGATCGATTTAAATCGATCGCTAAATAGATGAAAAAGTTAAAAAAATAGCGACCGATTTAAATCGGTCGCTAAATCAATGACAAAGTTAAAAAAAATAGCGACCGATTTAAATCGGTCAGCTAAATCAATAACAAAGTTAAAAAAAATAGCGACTGATTTTAAATCTGTCGCTAAATCAATAACAAAGTTAAAAAAATAGCGACCGATTTAAATCGATTAGCTAAATCAATAACAAAATTAATTATTTTTATTTATATTTATTTCTCCTATCTCTTTTTATATTATATTTTTTAGAAGTTTAACTTATTATTAGATTTATTATCATTGTCAGGATTCGAACCCGGTACCTTAGAGTTTGAGACTAAAACTCCAACCATTGAGCTACTAGGATTTTTTAACAATAACTTACAAATAAATTATATTTATATACAAATAAATGTATATCAGTATAAATATATAAATATAAAATCTATAAAAATATATTTATATATTTTAATATATATTTAAATATTAATATATTTATACATTGATATATTTAAATATTGATATATTTATATACTTGATATATTTATATATTTATATCTTTATATTTTTACATATATTTATATCTTTATATATTTATATCTTTATATTTTAACATATATTTATATCTTTCCATATTTATATATTGATATATAAAGATATAAAGATATTAGTTTTGTATACAAATAATATTATAATATAGTATATTATACTATTAGTATAATATACAAATTATATATTAGTATAGTATATAAATTATTAGTTTTGTAATTTATATAAAAATAAGTTACAAATATTATAACATAATGGTATATTAATATAATATAATATATTTGTATTCTATTTTTTAATTAAACTAAAATTACGCTAATAATGTATAATAATATATGAGGGGATAATATTAATATATTGATATATATATATATATATATATATATATATATATTTATATAATGATATATTTATATATTAATATGTTTATATATTTATATTTTGATATATATATATATATATATATATAGATATATATATATATATTTTGATATATTGATATATTTATTTATATCCTTATACATTTATATCTTTATATATTTGAAAAAAAAATAAAAATTTAATTATTAAATTTTAAAAATAATATTATATTTTAAAAATAAATATTAGAAAACATTAAAAATATATATAAATTATATTTACATGTACAAAATATTAAAGATATATATTTATATATTTATATCTTTACATATTTATATCTTTATATCTTTATATTTTATATATTTATATCTTTACATATATTTATATCTTTATATCTTTACATATATTTATATCTTTATATATTTACATCTTTATATATCTATATATATATATATATATATATATATATATATATATATATATATATTTATATATTTATATATTTATAAAATCTATAAATATATATATTTATATATTTTAATATATATTTATATATTGATATATTTATATATTTATATATTTATATATTTATATATTTATATATTTACATATTTTTATATTTATATATTTATATATTTATATATTTATATATTTATATATTTATATATTTATATATTTATATATTTATATATTTATATATCTATATATCTATATATTTATATATTAATATATTAATATATTAATATATTTATATATTTATATATTTATTTATATCTTTATATATTTATATATTTATATCGTTATATCTTTATATATTTATTTATATCTTTATATATTTATATATTTATATCTTATATCTTTATATATTTATATATTTATATCTTTATATTTTATATTTTTATATATTTATATCTTTATATATATATATATATATTTATATATCTTTATATATTTATAAAATCAATAGATACAAATATATTTATATATTTTAATATATATTTAAATATTGATATATTTATATATTGATATATTTACATATTTATATATTTATATACTAATATACCATTATATTATTTTCATTGTATATAAATTACAAAACTAATAATTTTTAAAAAATTTAATGATAATGTTTTTAACTTATATATTACAAAATAGTTTTTAATAATTTAATAAATATAACTTTTAAATATTTTCATTAATTTAAAGGATAACTTTTAATATTTTTTAGTATTTTTTAAAATGTAGATATCTTTAATATTTTGGACATATAAATATAATTTATACATGTTTTTAAACCTGTTTCTAATATTTGTTTTTAAAAATATAATATCATTTTTAAAATTTTATAGATTTTATATTTATATATTTATATTAGTATAGCATACAATTAATATATTAGTATAGTATAGTATACAAATTATTAATTTTGTAATTTATATACAATGAAAATAATATAATGGTATATTAGTATAGTATATTTGTATTCTAATTTTTAATTAAACTAAAATTATGCTAATAATGTATAATAATATATGAGGGGATAATAAATTTAATCCAATTACTTTTATAAATATATAAATATAAATCTATAAAATTTTAAAAATGATATTATATTTTTAAAAACAAATATTAGAAAAATGTTTAAAAACATGTATAAATTATATTTATATGTCCAAAATATTAAAGATATCCACATTTAAAAAAATACTAAAAAATATTAAAAGTTATACTTTAAATTAATGAAAATATTTTAAAAAAGTTATATTTATTAAAGTATTAAAAAATATTCTGTAATATATAAGTTAAAAATATTATCATTAAATTTTTTAAAAATTATTAGTTTTGTAATTTATACACAATAAAAATAAAGTACAAATATTATAATATAATGATATATTAATATAATATAATGATATATTAATATAATATAATATATTTGTATTCTAATTTTTAATTAAACTAAAATTACGTTAATAATGTATAATAATATATGAGGGGATAATATTGATATATTTATATATTTATATATATATATATATATATATATATATATGATATATTTATATATTAATATATTAATATATTTATATATTTATATATTTATATATTTATATATTTATATATTTATATATTTATATATTTATATATTTATATATTTATATATTTATATATTTATATATTTATATATTTATATATTTATATATTTATATATTTATATATTTATATATTTATATATTTATATATTTATATATTTATATATTTATATTTTGATATATTTATATATTTATATATTTATTTATATCCTTATACATTTATATCTTTATATATTTATATATTTAAAAAATAAAAATTGAAATATTAAATTTTAAAAATAATATTATATTTTTAAAAATAAATATTAGAAAAAGATTTAAAAATATATATAAATTATATTTACATGTACAAAATATTAAAGATATATTTATATCTTTACATATTTACATATTTATATATTTATATCTTTCTATCTTTACATATATTTATATCTTTATATCTTTACATATATTTATATATTTATATCTTTATATATATATATATATATATATATATATATATATATATATATATCTTTATATATTTATAAAATCTATAAATACAAATATATTTATATATTTAAATATTGATATATTTATATATTTACATATTTATATTTTTATATTTATATATTTATATATCTATATATTAATATATTAATATATTGATATATTTATATATTTACATATTTATATATATTTATATATATTTATATATTTATATATTAATATATTTATTTATATTTATATATTTATATCTTTATATCTTTATATATTTAAGAAAAAATTAAAAATTTAAATATTAAATTTAAAAATAATATTTTATTTTTAAAAACAAATATTAGAAAAAGGTTTAAAAATATATATAAATTATATTTACATGTACAAAATATTAAAGATATATATTTATATCTTTACATATTTATATATTTATATATTTATATCTTTATATTTTTTACATATATTTATATTTTTATATTTTTACATATATTTATATCTTTCCATATTTATATATAAAGATATTAGTTTTGTATACAAATAATATTATAATATAATATATTATAATATATTATACTATTAGTATAGTATACAAATAATATATTAGTATAGTATAGTATACAAATTATTAATTTTGTAATTTATATACAATAAAAATAATATAATGGTATATTAGTATAGTATATTTGTATTCTAATTTTTAATTAAACTAAAATTACGCTAATAATGTATAATAATATATGAGGGGATAATAAATTTAATCCAATTACTTTTATAAATATATAAATATAAAATCTATAAAATTTTAAAAATGATATTATATTTTTAAAAACAAATATTAGAAAAAGGTTTAAAAACATGTATAAATTATATATATATATGTCCAAAATATTAAAGATATCCACATTTAAAAAAATACTAAAATATATTAAAAGTTATACTTTAAATTAATGAAAATATTTAAAAAAAGTTATATTTATTAAAGTATTAAAAAATATTTTGTAATATATAAGTTAAAAAAATTATCATTAAATTTTTTAAAAATTATTAGTTTTGTAATTTATATACAATGAAAATAATATAATGGTATATTAGTATAGTATAGTATATTTGTATTCTAATTTTTAATTAAACTAAAATTACACTAATAATGTATAATAATATATGAGGGGATAATAAATTTAATCAAATTACATTTATATATATATATATATATATATATATATATATATATCATTTTTTAACTTTTTTTTTCTATCTAAACTTCTCACATTCTACATTGTTTTTAAACTCTATCATGTTTACTATATTATCATCCTCATTTCCTCCCATATTCTATTTTATTTTATAATAATTAGTCTTCTTTTATAGAATACTTTATTTTCTATTTTTATTATTTATTTTCTTATAATTTAAAATAATTAATATTATTTTAACATTTATTTTTATGATTTTTACTATAATAAATCAAATTAAATGATTCGATAATATCAATTAATTAAAATCATCACATAAAAAATTTAGATAACTACATTAAAATTATTAATTTTAAAAATACAAAATATATTTATAAAAAACTCAAATTATAGATTGGAAATAAAATAGAATAAACAAATACTCTTTACTTTATATTATATTTAAGTGTGTGCACAAATGTTGACCTTCTTAACTATAAAGAAACAAGTAGAAAAATATAAAGATAGTATTTGAAGAAGTGAATTTTGAAGATAAAGACTATTTTTATATAAATTTATTCTAGTATATCAATTAACAATAATAATACATAAAATTTAAAAACTAAACTAAAAAAAGTAAGTTTAAATTTATAAAAAAATACATTACTAAAAGTATCATATTATATTAAGATTTTCATTATTTTCGTTAATTATAAATTTAAATGTGTTTCATAAATAAAATTATAAATTTAAATGTATTTCCACTTTTGATCCATCATAAATAAAAATAAATAGTCTTTTATAAATGTTGTTCTATTTTAATCCATCATTAAATTTGTTTTATATACGAATTTGATGACTTATCATGTTATTAAAAAATTGGATGAAATAATTATGTATAATACTTTTTTACTATATTATGTTTTTAAATTTGTTAATAGAGAAAAAGTTTCAGAATTCAAAATGTTAAATACTTTTAAATATTAAAATTGACTTTATAAAACATTAGGAAAAAAATAATTAATCCAAAAATATAATAATGATAAAAATATTATAAAAAAGAGTTCAAAAATGTATTATAATATTTTCAGTTTTAGTTTAATTATATTTTTAATTCTCAAAGTAGAAAAATATATTGTAATTATTTTAATTTAATAAAATATAATTTAGATTTTTAATACTAAAATTAAAATATTAAATAATAATAAATTTAATTCTTTAAATTTAGTATTTAGAAACTAAAATTATAGTTTCTCTCTTTTAAAAAATTAAAATAAATATTTAAAAATAAAAATAAAAAATAGTATTATCTTAAATTTATTAAATGTATAATTAAATCTCTATTTTCTTATGCAATTTTAGAAATTTTTTAATGAAAATCCAATATATAAAAAAGTTAAAATTTTAACAAGGCACAACCTTAATTTATATTAACTATTTTTAATATAAATTTAAATATATGTTGAATATAAATTTTAAAAAGGCACAACCTTAACTATGTTGAATATAAATTTAAATATATTTTTCATTTATTTAAATATGATTTATTTTTAGTATTTATAAAATAGATTAATTTTAAATTTTTAATCTTTTTTATTAATTATGTTAAAAATAAAAAATATTAATTAGTATACTTAAACTAAAAAATATTTTAACTAAAGATAAATATATTTTTATAAATAGTTTAATTAAATAATATATTTATTATCTAATATATATTGATATAATTTTTTTTTGGTATATATGACAACAACCATGATTAAGTAATTAATAATAATAAAGCAATAAATTTAAAAATTAGATTAAAAATAAAGTATTATAAAATAAAATTGTAATAATTTGATTAAAATTGTATTTTTTTTAATTAATTAAGTTAATGAGGAATTAAAATGTGATAATTTGATGTGTTTAATTTTTTTAATATAAATTTTTAAAATATAATTTAATTTCAATTGAAATTTTCAATTGAAAAATAAATTAAAGAATAGTTATTATTAAACTTTTCTTAAACAATGTATTGAATAGTTAATATCACTCTAGTCTTAATTTATTATAATTTAAATTTTTAATAAATTTGATTTATTACAATTCATTTTGTTAATATTGAGACCAAAGTTTATTTTTAAAGTATATTTTAAAAATTAAATTATTTTTAAAAAATAAATTACTTTTAAAAAATAAATTGTAAAAAATATACTAAAACAATTAAAATATATTTATAAAAAAATAAATTTAAATATAATAAAAAAATAATATTCATTAGCGACCGATTTCAATTCGGTCGCTATTTTCCCATTAGCAACCGATTTTAATTCGGTCACTATTTCAATTTGTAATTCGGTCGCTAAATCGAGTCGCTAAATGATTTTTTTATTTTAGTATGGAATAGTCACTCGATTTAGCGAACAAAATTTTGCGATGCAAAATATTGGTCGCTATTTCGGTCGTTAAATAAAAAAGTGAAACTAAATCATATTTTGGTGGCTAAATCGATCGCTAAATTGCGACCGAATTAACTTGGTCGCTAAATCGGTCGCTAATTGCGACCGAATTAAAGTGGTCGCTAAATTGGTTGTTAATTGCGACCGAATTAAATCGGTCGCTAATTGCGACTGAAAAAATTCGGTCACTAATTTCGGTGGCTAAATGTTTTTTGTTATAGTGATATATTTTCACTTTTATTCATATCAATCATGAGAATAATGTCAGGCTATTCATCTTTAGTTTATGTTTTACTGTGTCTTTGCAACCTCTCTTCTTCAGAAGCTATCATCGATGGATTCAGTGTGGAGATAATCCACCGTGACTCATCAAAATCACCATTCTATCGTTCCACAGAAACTCAATTCCAAAGAACTGCTAATGCCCTGAGTCGTTCCATTATCCGTGTCAATCATTTCAACCAATCTTTTGTGTCTCAAAACACACTTCAGGCCCCAGTAACCTCAGCTCCAGGTGAATATCTAGTGAAGTATTCAGTTGGAAGCCCTCCACTCCCGGTCTATGGAATTGTTGATACGGGTAGTGACATTACTTGGCTGCAATGCCAACCATGTATAAAATGTTACAAGCAAATCACTCCTATCTTTGATCCTTCAAAATCCAAAACATACAAAACCATCCCTTGCCCCTCGGCCACTAGCAATTGTGTATATACTATTGACTATGCTGATGAGACACACTCACAAGGAGATCTTAGTGAAGAGACCCTTACTTTACTCTCCACCAATGGCTCTCCTATCCAAATTCCTCGAATTGCATTTGGATGTGGTCATATCAATGCTGTTTCCTTTGAAAGAGGAAATTCTGGCATATTTGGCTTAGGACGCGGAGCTGTATCCCTTATAAATCAATTGCGTTCTTCAATAGGTGGAAAGTTTTCTTATTGTTTGGTACCAGCACATTCACAATCTACTATATCTAGCAAACTCAATTTTGGAGGTGCTCCTGTGATATCTGGGCCTGGGACTGTCTCAACCCCATTATTTGCACAAAATCGAGAACCATTTTACTACCTACACTTAGAAGCATTTAGTGTCGGAAGCAATAGAATAGAGTTTGGAAGCTCTTCATCTAAACCTGGTGGAAATGGAAATATCATAATTGACTCAGGTACAACACTCACTCATTGCCAAATGACTTTTACTCAAAGTTGGAATCAGCAGTTGCAAGTGCAGTTAACTTGAAGCGTGCTAAGGATCCAAATCAAGTGTTGAGTCTTTGCTACAAAGCTAATAGACTTGATGCACCAGTGATCACAGCACATTTTACTGGTGCAAATGTCATTTTGTATGGTCTCAACACCTTTGTTCAAGTGGCCGATGAGGTTGTATGCTTGGCTTTTCTGCCAAGTGTAACTGGTGCTGTCTTCGGAAACTTGGCTCAGCAAAACATTTTGGTTGGCTCAGCAAAACATTTTGGTACAGTATCATTCAAGCTTGCAGATTGCACTAAGCAATGATGGATTGTTGTTTGTTTTACTAAGTCTATGTCAGTGAATAAATTTTAGTAAAACTTTTGCCTGACAAAATAATTGTTGAATTAATTAATATTTCTTATACTTGATGAAAGATTGAATTAGTAATGATAAAGAAAAATGGATAATCATTTTTCACAAAATATGATAGGTATAAGTACAGGATATGCAAAGTCTTAAGTAATATAATGTTGGGGACACAAATTTCACTTCATTAAGTTTACCGTTACCTAAATATTTATAATAAAAGAATAAGAAAATGTAATGGAAATTAGTTTAGGCACCAACCACCTGTGACCTATGTTTATTCCTCAAGTAAAGTTTGAAAAATCTTTCAAGGATTTGAACCAAGTATTGTCCACAAATTATTAGCACCTTACTCTAACTAACCTCAAGATTATTCACCTTAACAAAAAGTTGGAAAACAAATGATACTTATATTGAGATATAGCATAAATTTAAGCTATAGAAGCGTCTGAAAAACACTGAATCTAGAAAATGCCAAAATCACCTGTAGACAAGGTGATTTATACCTGCTATATATAGGATAAGAGTGTTCTTATTGTTCTCTCTTAATGTTCGGATAAATCAATAAAAGATAACTGATTGTTCACCCACCTTAAGAAACAAAAAAATGAAAGAAAGAAAAATAGATGGAAAATAAAATGAAGAAAATTATTTGACTGAAGAAAAATAATGATAAAATAATTAATCATAGTATTATTTTATTTTATTTATTATTATGTATTAATTATTAGCATTATCTTATATATTTAATACCTCAATTAATTATGGGATTCAATTATGTTGTTATTTTTTACATTTCCTTTAATATTTTTTGGGGAAGAGAAGTAATCAATGGATTGTAGAAAACAATAACACATTAGAAACTGAATATTTTCTTTTAAGAGCATTTATGCTAAAAATAATTTTGTAGATAACCTTTGCGATCATAATATTTAAACTCATCTGATTTTTTTACAATAAACTCTTATTAAATATTTTATAAGAACTATAATGAAATGTTATATCATACAAAAGTTGTTTTAAATCTCTAACAACATTCACGAATGCATAGCATGAATTTTTATTTTTATTATTTTGGGACATCTTGTAAAACGTTTCATCAGTCAAAATATTAATTAATGTAGATATTAGTATTAATTCATTATTCATGTAAAAAAATTAATTGATGCTTCTTATTGAGAAAAAAATATTTGGAAATGAATATAATTCAAATTTGATTGAGTACATTAGTCAAGTCGTTAAAAATATTCAAATCATTAAACACTGTCAAAAGTTAAATAGTATATTTATTTATATTTTTTGGTTGAAATGTTCATACTCCAAAAGCTAAGTTATTACTGTTGATATAAAACTCTGAAACAAAATTGGTATGAAACTAAAATTTTAATAATTGACCTTTCACACAATTCCACAAACACTCTCAGTCATGCATCATCAGAATCTTATAAAGTGGATCATTAGGAATGTGCTAGTAGGGTTATATATGTGAATATTTTTGAGAGATTATTTTTCACTTTTATTCATCACAGTCATGACAATAATGTCACACTCTTTATCTCTAGCTTTTGTTTTACTGGGTCTTTACAACCTGTCTTTCTTAGAAGCTGTCAATGGTGGATTTAGTGTGGATATCATCCACCGTGATTCACCAAAATCACCGCTCTATAGTTCCATAGAAACTCAATTCCAACGGATTGCCAATGCCGTACGTCGTTCTATTAATCGTGTCAATCATTTCAACCAATCTTTTGTGTCTCCAAACACACCGAAGTCCACTGTAATACCAGACTTTGGTGAATACCTAATGAGGTATTCAGTTGGAACCCCACCCATCAACATCTATGGAATTGTTGATACGGGTAGTGACTTTGTTTGGTTGCAATGCCAACCTTGTAAAAAATGTTACAAACAAAGCAATCCTATCTTTGATTCTAAAAAATCCGTGACATACAAAACCATCCCTTGCACTTCTAATAAATGTGGTTCTGTGCTAGGTACCTTTTGCTCCTCGGGCATTGTGAAACATTGTGAATATAACATAAACTATGAGGATGGGACACTCTCACAAGGAGATCTTGGTGAGGAGACCCTCACTTTAGGTTCCACCAATGGCTCTCCAATCCAGTTTCCTGGAACTGTGATAGGATGTGGTCGTTACAATGAAATTGCCTTTAAAGGGGTAAATTCCGGCATAGTTGGTCTAGCACGTGGACCTGTGTCCCTTATAACTCAATTAGGTCCTTCAGTGGGTTGGAAGTTTTCCTATTGTTTGGTCCCAGCAATTTCAAAATCCAATTCAACTAGCAAACTCAATTTTGGAGATGCTGCTATGGTTTATGGGCCTGGGACTGTCTCAACCCCATTATTATTACAAAATAGGCAAGCATTTTATTACCTAACCTTAGAAGCATTAAGTGTTGGAAGCAATAAAATAGAGTTTGGAAGCTCTATGTCTAGATCTGGTGGAAATGGAAATATCATAATTGATTCAGGTACAACACTCACTCTTTTGCCAAATGATGTTTACTCAAAGTTGGAATCAGCAATTGCAAATGCAGTTAAGTTGCAGCGCGCTAAGGATCCAAATCAAGTTTTGAGCCTTTGCTACAAAGCTAAGTCTGATAAACTTGATGTACCAGTGATCACAGCACACTTTACAGGTGCAGATGTCTTTTTATATGCTCTCAACACCTTTACTCAAGTGGCTGAGGAGATTGTATGTTTGGCTTTCCTGCCAAGTCAAACTGGTGCTGTCTTTGGCAACTTGGCTCAGCAAAACATTTTGGTTGGCTATGACCTTCAGAAGAACACAGTGTCCTTTAAGCTCGCAGATTGCACTCAGCAGTAATTGATTGTTCTTTGTTTTACCTAGTCAACGTCGGTGGAATAATTGTTGTCAGTAAAATATGGAGAATATAATTGTTGAATTAATTAACATTTCTTATTACGTGATGAAAGATTGAATTTATAACTTTTCTTTTTTTAAGATAACACGAATCCTCATTTTCCACAAAAGATGACAAAGGTATAAATACTGGAAAAGCAATCTCGGATAATATAAACGGTGAGAAAGGCAGGTCAAGAGTGCACTTTTTTGAAAATTTCTTCCACTAATTTGACAAGAGTAGTTTTTCCCCCAATAGCCCAAACACGTCGGGACTCCTTACCCTAACTAATCTAACTAATAAAAAATTATTATAACTTGCTTAAATATTATTAAATATTTGTTAAACATTTTATATTTCAAAACGTTAACTATACACATTTTTTTTAATTGTATTAAAAGTAATTATATATATATATATATATATATATATATATATATATTTTGTATGTGGATAACAAAAAAGAAGAAGAAGCAACTAGTGATTGAAATCCTTCAATCCCAATTAGCCTCTGAATATCGAGGGAGTATCTCTTGAAGTAGCGATATTTTTTCAATAGCAAAAGATCTGTCGCCAAATTGGTGGTTATATATTTAAAACGAAACTACGGTTTTAGTTATGGATTTTTTAAGTTGAATTATATCTCTTATTTTTATTAATAAAATGTTGTATACCCCAAATCTTGTCTGGTTCCCTAATAAAGCCGAAGATAACCCGTTTCGAAGATGGTCAAGACTTCATTAAGTCTCTAGTAGTTTTTTCTAGGTTCCATTTAAGATAGGAAGAGTTTTTAGAGGCAATAAAAATCGGAAAATCCATCGGAGACAACAGATGACCGTCTAAGACAGTCAAACGGTCGTTCATGCCAACTTTATGGCTATGGATGACCGTCCACTTAGCTTGGACGGCCGTCCATGGTAACTTTTGGTCATGGACGACCGTCCACACTACATGGATGGCCGTCCATGGCCACTTTTTGTCATGGACGGCCGTCCACCTTTTCCTGGCACGATTCCCTATAAATAGGCCCTCATTTCTCACTTTTCCACACACCTTTCCACTCCTACACTCTCTAGGAAGCCTTTTGGCACTTTAGAGTGACTCTTAGCATTATTCCAGAGTTCGAGTGAGCTTTCCGATTTCCGTTTAAGGTAGAAATCGGTTAAGGAAGTCTCCTTTTGAGATGTCCGACCCTCGGTAGGGTGGTACTCTTATTTTTTGTTCGAGGGAGTGACTCTATAGAGTGCGGGGACTGCCAAAAAGCGTCCTCAAGTTCAAGATTTATAAAAGCTCGCTTCGGAGGTTCTCTTTCATATCTCTTATCTTTTACTGCTTTCTTTATCGCTTTCTTTGTATGCATTAGATAATAGGGTCATGTAGACATTTAAATTCTGCAAGTAGATAGAATAATAGGGTAAAAGTATACTTTTTTAAGTATTTATTTTTCTAAACTAGTCCATCACAAGGAACCCGAAAGGGGCGTTGTTGGGTGCTAACACCTTCCCCACACGTAACTAACTCCCTTACCCGAATCTGGTTGTAATGGCCAAAGTTTGTATTTTCTAAAACCACTGCCTTTTTCTTTTTCTTTACCTTTTTCAGTGTTTAAGGTTAAAACACTGATGACGACTCCTCGAACCTTTTCGAAAACTTCGCCTTTAGGTTCAACCCGGTTATTAGACAACCTAAAGGCGTTGAACCACTTCTTTCAAAAAACGCGAGTCAATCCAAAATCATCGCGTCGCTCCGACCGCCTCTTCTGACGGTGGCGACAGATGGCGACTCCGCTGGGGAAGCTAGAAAGTTGATCCTATTTAGTGATGGACTAGTCTAAGAAATAAAAACTAGAAATTATGCTTTTACCCTTTCCTGCTTTATAACATGTTTTACTGTTTGACTTTAATAACTGTTGTATGCTTATTTTCTGCAATTGTTTGAAATAAATAATTGTACACAAACCCTTGCACACAATAGTCCTCTATACCCAGGGGAAAGAGAGAATACACATAAGGAGTGGGTGGCAGGTACGACCGACCATGGTAATGATTGCCTTAGTGCCAGCAGGTCGTTGTCGGAAACCGCCACTCAAGGTGATAACCTTCTTGTTCTGGTCTAAGAATATCGACGCGGACATCCGTGCATGGTTCGAAGACTGAGAGATTGAAGGATCCCTATAATGGGGGCACCTTGGGGGCCTGACCTTGGTGAGAACAGTTAGAACCTACCTTTGCCAATGCACTTTTCTACAGGAAACCCCTACCTCGTAATTAAATGTCACTCTGTTCACATAGGAGTGAATTGTTTGTGCATTTGTTTTGTTGCATTTGATTGTTGCATAACATAATCATACAACAACAAACAAAAAATATATAAAACAAAATCTCAAAAAATCCTTTCACAATAAGAGAATAAGGAAAAGATTCCCCAACAATATGAAGGTGACCCACATGATGAGGAAATATGGACACCGCCCAGACCGAGGGCTCGGTGGAAACTCTCAAGGAATAAGGGAGACACCAGATTTTAAGGACAATCCTTTGAAGCATGACCCTACAAAGGATCAAGCTGCACGGAGAAAAGGGAATTCTCCCCTTTGCACCTCGAATCAGATTTTCCCAAACAAAGGGGTCCAAGCTTCGAGAGCGACTTTAGCCATTAGGTGTTCTCCTTCCAATTTTAAGGGGTTGCAAATCCAATGACTATTAGAAATTACTCCTCGGGGCTAACCCGACTCCCGAGCATTGTAGGGTACATATTTCCCTATTAATTACAAAGAATGTCATTCTTATTATCTGTTTCTCTTCTTGCTATTCATATCTAAACCTCATTAATAACCATGTTTAAGCAAACGTTTTCAAAACGCGTCAAAGTAATCAAACTGCGCCATTGACCAAAATAAAAGTCAAATCCATCACCACTGATTGACTAGAAACACGAATAAGGTTTTACCTCTTCAATAAAGCTGTGTTTCACCAATGTTGTGCAAACAAAAAAGAATCAAAAGAAGTCCATAGAAGCCAAAGTCCAAAAAGAGAAGGCAAGGTACCCAGTAGGAAACCTATTAAGGGGGGTTACGCAAAAGTTAGGGTAAACCCGCTAGGAAACCCGAACAATAATAAAGGGTAGCCTAGGCAAAAGTTAGGGTTACAAAATAAAGTCCGCTACCCAAAACAAAGAGGAAACTTAGACAAAAGTTAGGACCAAGAAAAAAGCACAACATCCTAGGTTGAAAACCCGAAGGGCAGTCTAGGGAAGTCAATTGGTCGCGATAGGCGCCACAAAACAATTAGTTAAGACGCAACTTCATAAACGAAACGTTTGTTTAAAACTAGCCTAAACAGTCTAACCAACCTTGGCTAGCCATTCTTACAAAAACATTTTTTTTAAAAAATAAAAACCATCTAAAACACAAGCCTTTGAATTAAATCCCTTTCTTTCTATTCTCTTGACCCTTATTACGACATTCTAGTAATTAATTGGGAAATATGGAGATATAGTGATCAATAAGAGGATTGAAATCCCTGAGAAAAGGAAGGAGTGCACTGACATGGTAGTAACTCTACAATAACAACATTCATTCTTCGGTCATGGCAAATCCGAGACGACAAAATCGATACAGCTAGACGTGACGTCGGAAGCACATCAGAAGCAAAAGCACATTGCTTAATCCTTTTGAAATATTAACTGAATTAGCATTATAGGATGCATATCACAAACATTGCATGCATGATAGGGTCCTATCTCTCAAAAAAGAAGAGGAAGAAAAAACGAAAATGAAAAGAATAATGCTTGCTAGGAGATTCTTAAGAAAAAGTTATGGTAACCTGCTAGATCGAAAACCCGCAAATGGCAGTTTAGGCAAAAGTTAGGGCATTCACAAAAAAGGAAAACGCCCGCTAGGATATCCTAGGCAAAAATTAAGGCAGCCCGCTAGATCGAAAACCCCAAAAGGGCAATCTAGGCAAAAGTTAGGGCTTAACCAAAAAATGAATAAAAAAGGAGCCCATCAACATAATCATGAAAGTACAACGGGAGAATACCAGTCACTTTTCTAAGATGCATCTTATAAAAGGATAGATTGCATTTAGGACATCCACTCACAAATAGTCGCACAAAACGACTCTGTCAAAATCGAAAATAAATTTTTTTGCAAATTAATAACAAAAACGATAATCATGAATAAGGAGACTAGCTCCATGTTTGTGATTGAAAAGCAGGATCGCCAGGACCAAACCTCCAAATAATGCTTGTTAGAATCGCGTAGCGGAATGATCGCGTGGTCGGACAAAAACCAAGAGGGGGGGTGAATTGGTTTCATAATAAAAATTAGGTTTTCAAAATTTTCCCCAAATTTTACCGATTAAAAACTGTGTAAATGTAAATAGAGAAGAGAAGAGAATCTTACACAGGAGATTTATACTGGTTCGGATCAAAAGACCCTACGTCCAGTTGCTAATCACTCAACAGAGGATTAACGCTGTCACTATAAACAAGTTGTTACAAACAGATTACAATTGAAAAGATAAAGATAAGAAAACACCTCTCTTGAAATCCACAAGAGATGATGAACAACTTTCCCTAGAGACGGCACAACACACAATCCACTAAGAACTCCACTTAGTGATTCTTATCGCTTCTAGCCCACACCAGGTTCCGAAAGCCCCCTTTCCTTGCAACAAACAGTTCTCTGGCACTCACAACACTTAACTTTTGTATGGAAAAGGTTGTTCTACTTTTCTGAGTGCCAAAGTAGAGTTTAAGTAGGGAAATTAGGGTTTAGAAATTGGGGATTTCGAAATTAAGGTTCTTGGTAATTGGATTTTTGAAAATAGGGTTGATTTGAAATTTAAAAACAAAAACAGACTGAAATAATTGATTAAATGGAGTTATAATCGATTAAAACAGAGCCAAAAACAATAGAACCCAAAACCTCTCTGTTTTAATCGATTATTAGACGTTTTAATCGATTATCAGACGTAATAATCGATTATTTTGAATTTTAATCGATTAAAGCAGTGAGTTTATACAGAAAATGGTTTTCTCACTGTTTTAATCGATTATTTCCCTATATAATCGATTAAAGCCGAGCCTGGATGATATATTTGGGCTTTTTGAAGCTTCTAAGTTGCAGACTATGTACCGACTATCTCAAACTCTAAAATTACAGACTCAATCTAATTAAAACAGAGTTATTACACTACAAAACAAGTCTTCAATACTCTAAGTCTTTGAGTTCTTGAATCATCATCAAAATCATCAATCTTCATGTTCATCAAGTGCAACATCAAGTCCTTGAATGTTCAACAATGCTCTCCCTCAAGAAAACAGAGCAAGTTTCCACCAATAAGCCAGCAACTCTAGAGCAAAATAAAAGCTTCCAAAAACCAGAGCCCCAACCATTCTCCTTCTACCCAATAAAGAGAAGGCACAATCATTAAAACAGAAAAGCTGACGCAAAGGCTTAGTCATCCCCAAGCGGATCATTGTCTACCCCAGATGCAAACAAAAATAATTCCACACGGCTCAGCATCACCCCCACTTGAGTCATCGAGCACACTCACCCAAGG